CCCCCCCCCCGGAGACTAACCCCCAAGTCCTCTTTTAAAGCTGAGGACTTACAAATTGGGTGAGCCACAGCACCACCAAAAGCTCTAGCAGTAATTTTGCAGCCCCCTTCTTTAATTTCATCAGTGAGGAAACTGAGGCATGGATCTGTCTGCCTGCAGAAGGGAGAGTTCCTCGTTAACACTTCTGAAGTAAAAGAAGTGGCAACCTGCTTCGTGCTGTGTGTCCCCTGGACTCTGAATAGTGCCATTAATATTTTAATTCATGAGTCAGTTTCATTAAGATTGAGTGTTTGCTTTGAAATCAATGTTTCTGTGGAAACTAATTTCACCTTTTGCAGATATTGATTACAGCCTCCTGAAAAGGCGAGAGGAGGATGCTTTGCTATCTGGGCAGTAAAACAAAAAGATTCAAAGTGAACAAAGAAAGAAAATGGGTAAAAACCAAACAGGTTTGTGTGGGAGGAGGGCAAAAAACTTCGCCCGGATTACCGGGAGAGAAGGGTGAATTTGCAGAGATTCAAAAAAAAAAAAAACCACCCATCAGCAATCCTCCTCCTAGCCTGTGGAAATGTATTTTTTTCCTGTAAACTGTATTTTTACAAATGAAAGGTGATTTAAAATGGAGGCACGTGTTTCTTTAATTGGAAAGGGCTTGGACTATCTAAAAAATCCGTGGTTTCCAGGAATATTTTTCCTATGATGAAAGTCTTGCCTGTGAATACTTCTCTCAGTTGATGCTGAATGTCAATAAGGCTGTTCCCCAGCCCCACTGATAGATATTACCTGTATTTTTCGAGAAGATGACAGAAACACTGATGGTCTTCCATTTTCCCCTGCAAGCTGGTGGTCGTGTCCAGAGGGGATTTATCGTTAGAGAGATACACTTTAGGGGAGGAGGGGGCGCTCTGTGGATCACATGTAATGCTGTGGTTTGAGGGGCTGATTTTCGAATGGGGGGGCGGGCCTGGGGGAGCCAGCTGGTGACCTCGAGGAGGGGCGAGACTGCGGACCTGCGGCGCGGGCATTGTTTCTGAACCCTGGGCATTTAACCGGGAAACAGCCAACAAACAGCAAATGGTGTGGCACCCACCGTGATGGGGACGTGTGCCAGTGAATGCTCACGTCCCGAGGGCTCAGTTTCCCGGTTTTAGCGTCAGCCCCCCACTGCGACATTCCTTCTTTGCCCCTGCTTCCCCACCCTGCAAATTTTCAGACACCCCAAGGTGGGGGCGGGGGTGGACAAAACCATGGGCAAACTGCGAAACCTCTAACTCTTGTTTGTTATTCTGACGGTGAAATGCTGCAGGTCGACAGAGCTGGGCTTTTATTTCATTTCTCTGCGTCTGAATGGCAAAGAAAATGGCAAGCCTGCTATTTTGTTTGTTTGTTGCGTGTGGCTTCTATGGAGAACACAGCCCTCTCCCCGGCCGACAGTGTGCACTGCCTCCTGCGTGACCTGAGACTTACTTTCGTTTTCTAGGTGCCGGAGAATCTGGTAAAAGCACCATCGTGAAGCAAATGCGGATCCTGCATGTTAACGGGTTTAATGGAGAGTAAGTGTCAAATCTGTGAAGGGCAAAGTCACCCGATTTTACTGACCTTTAGGAAGCTCAGGTGGGGGTGGGGTTGGGCAGCCGACTTTCACTCAGGGTTTTCAGCCTACATAGTAGAAAATCCTGGGAAGAGCGCTTTAGGGGTTTGTCTCCCCCTTTGATCTCTGGTGCAGAAGCTGATGATAATAAATAAGCCTTGGGGCTCCCCCCCCCTCAGAAATCAGGGTCTGCTTGGCCCCCGGCGGGTCTGCCGCAGATCCTGCTGCAGTGAGTCTCCAACATGGCTGGCACTGGCCGTGGCGCCCCTCTGCCTGGCGACTGACCACTGCAGAGAGGGGTCCCCACCCTCCCGCGCAGCGCAGTGCACCAGTGCTAGATGCCTGAGACTATTAGGGCGACACTATTTCAATAATCCCACAGAAAACAGCTTGCCAGAGCCAGCCCTTGTCAATGATCCCTAATTGCCCCTGAGGAATTAGCATTAAGGGCAGGTCTTTGTTTCCCTTTTTAAAGAATCAATAGTCCTGCCTAAAAAAGAGAACAAAAAGGAAACCTTTACAGGAAGGGAAGGCAGGGGGCTGGGTACTTCTGGCCCAGTCAGGGGGCGCTTTTGCCTCTGAAAGCCCCCCAGGCCCTGGGGCCCAGGCCCTGCACTGCGAATACCGAATACCGCAAGGAGCAGAAAGAAGAGGGCCTCTCCTGCTCGGCGCGGCCGCCTGCTGCAGGCTGAGAAGGGCCTTGCCTGCATCCCCTCCTTTGAGAGGGCTGTCAGGAGGGGTGCGCAGCCCCCTCTGCAAGCCCCGCCACGCCAAGATAAGCCGCTGGCCCCTGTCCAGTGCCAGGGGGTACAGATTTCCTCACTCACCTTTCAGAGGTAAAAAAAATGCCACAGAAAGGCGGTCTTCATGGAAAATTCTAGAATTCCTCAGATGGGGAGAACAGAATGACATCACCAAACCAATGGGCATTTTAGTTTAGAATACCTCTTGCTGCCTGAACCTTGAATTGCGAAGGACACCGGCCGTTGTACCGCTTTCAGGAAGGCCTCTTGGGGTGCGCATGCGTGACGTGCTGTTAAGCCGGTCACCTTCACCCCTCTCAAGCCGATTCTGAAACCCCCAATTCCTGACACCCTTCTATAGGGTCCAGGATACAAAAAGCCTTGACACCCACTTCAACTATGAATTAGCAATTTAAAAACAGTCCCAGGCAATCTCCCGCACGGTCAGTCCCTTCCCTGTGACTGGTGGGACTGCTGCTTGGTGAGGCCATGTACCCTCTTCTAGATAAATATTTTGATTAAGACTGGACACGGCCAGCATCTTTAAAAGGATGCGGCGGCCACCGTTTACCTTAGCCTCCTCTGAGAAGACAGCCGTGGAGTCCTTCAAAGTTTTGTTACCAGACTGCCCCAATAGTTTCCAATTTCAAGAGACAGGATTCCCCTAAGGGAACCAGTCTCTAATGCAGATGGGGCATTTAAGCCAAACTTCTGTTTTTGTTTTCTTTTCAAAAAGAGGAAGCTGCCCTCCCAGTGCGCCTGCTTTGTAGGGCCAGCCCTAGGTAGCCCTGGGATGTTAAATTTAGCTGGGGATGTGGCATACAGGGGAATTCTTGGTGCGAGCGGGGAAGCCTGATTTTTATCTAGTCCACAGAGCCTCCTTTTTTCTTTTTCCTCACTGCGGTATTGCAACAAAAGCGTTTCCTTCTTAACTAGGAATTCCCTACAAAACGGGGTGACAGCTGCCCACAAGAGTGTTTTATGGGGTTCGGGCCTGCTCCTCCTCACCCCCGCAAACGCGAGCTTTGTTAGGGCTGGGCTGCGCTATTAAATCCGTCTTCACTGTCAGCAGCTTGCAGTGCTGATTACATTTTGAGAGTAGCGTGTAATATTAATCTGACCTTCAGAAATCACAGGGGTCAAATGCGGAGATTCCTAACTCTGAGCTAACTCTTCCTGACATTAAGTGCCCGAACAAAAAAGTGCCATTAACGTTGAGGGAGCTAAGCTAATCAGTTACAAAGCCATCGCAAATGGCTCCTGGGTTACAAAAGCACACGGCCAGCCTGGCCTCCCCTCCCCACGGTGGGGGGCGGGCGCCGAGGAAGGTGGGGGTGGGGGCCTGGTGCTAGTGGCTTGCACTCTTCAATCCTGCTGCCGCCTTGCGGCCCAACCCCGGTTTTAGTGGCCAGCCTCAGTGGGGTTGGGCCTTGAGAAATGAGTCTTCTGGAGAGCCCCCATAGCGCCCCGCGCAGGGCCTTTGTCCCGCGCGGCCAGGCCAGGCCGAGGTCTGCGAGAAGGGAGCGGGCGGCTCTGCCCCAAGGGCGCCGGGGTACCGCCCGCCTTCTCCCGAGGCCTGCGCGCTAGCAGAAGCGCAGCGAGTAATTACCGGCCCTCTGCGCCCAGCAAGGGTCTCCAGAGGGCCCGCGCGCCGCCGCGCCTCGCACTCCCCGGGCGGTGGCCGCCCCGGGAGGCCCCCACTTAGCCAGCCAGGGCCTAGCGAGGGCCTCGCGTGGGCACGGGGATGGCGGCGCTGGCGCAGCGCGTGGAGCGGCTGTGGGGTGCGGAACGCGGTGCCTCGCAGATTAGGTGAGCTTTCAATCTCTCTTTAAAAGGGGCGGCGAAGAGGACCCGCAGGCTGCAAGGAGCAACAGCGATGGGTAGGCACATTCAAAACCAGAACAACTTTTTGACAAACAAACAAACATGAGGATCACGCTGGGAAACTGAGCCGGGAGCCCGCCCTCCAGGGCCAGGGCCAGGGCCAGGGCCGGGCCAGCGCGGGCGGCCTGATTAGGGCCAGCTGGGCCGGCTGGAGACCTGAGCGCGGCAGCCGGACTGCGGACTCCATGTTTCCCCATATGGTTTCTGTTTCCCCAGTTGCCGTCTGAATCGGCTACTTGTTTAAAACGATCGACTAAATTCCATCCACCCCGGGGGTGGGTCTGATCTTTAATATTTCAGACCTCGTTGGGGGGGGAAATCCCTCGATGAAGGGCGGCCGCACCACCTATTTTAATTTTGAGGTGGGAAGAAAAAGGCCTCGCCACGGTGTGGAAGGTCACTGCTCAGAATGACCCGGAGCCTTCATTCCTTCTAGTCCAGAGCGTCAGCCAGGGGCAGGAAGCTGGGAGCGGCGTCCGTGTTTTGGCCATTTATGACCCAGTTGTTCTCCTCTTCACCTGCCTCCCACAGCCACCACGTGCACGCACGCGCACGCGTGGCGGGTGGCCCGCACACCTGGTGTGCCGCGGGGGAGGGCAGAGCAGCGGGCGGCAGCAGGGACTGACGCGTGTCTGTCATCTGTTTTAGAATGTGTTGTCCCTAGATGGTGCTGGCTGCAGTTGCGCGTCCCCGGCTGTGTCCCACCACACTTTGCATGCCGGAGCCCCTTCTGGGCACTTCTAACAAGAATACTGTTCTGTTGTGGGGGAGGGTGCGGGCCCTACCACCTAACAGCCTCTTAGCGATAAGCGGGAAAATAACCCAAAAGGCACAAAAAATAACCCCCCGAAACAACCAAAAAACCAAACCCCCTAATTGGCGAAGATGTAGTGTGACGGCCCCAAAGGCATCTTCGTAAAAGGAGAGACTGACAGTCCACTGTACCCAAAGTGGGCAGATCCCCAGAGTCCCCGGCCCCACAGAGCACCCCTGTGTGCGGGTGCCCCCCGCCTGCTAGGACTCGCCTGCACCTTTCTCTGTGACTGTTTGCAAGTGACGTGTCACTGCTAACACGCGTGAATAAACGTGCTCTCGTGTTCAGTCCCTGTACCCTGCGTCTGTCTGCTGGTCTTCTGTCTTCCTTCTCTGTCTGTCTTTTCCCACGAAGCGCAGAGCAGGCGCAGAGGGATGAAGTTGGTAGGGCGGTGCCCCCCCCACTGGGCGCGCCACAGGCGGGGGCTCGCGGGAGCGGGACGACCCGCTTTCTGCCAGGCGCTTTCTGCCAGGCGCTTTCTGCCAGGCGCTGCCCTCTCGCCTAAGAGTAGTTCCGGCCCCCACCCCAGTTTTCCGAACAGTCAGGTTAGCCATCGGTGCATGTTTTGGTGTTCGGTGGCTTTGAGACACAGGAGGAACTGTCTGCACTTCACAGTCAATGTTAAATTCATTAAGTGATAGTAGAGACGATGATAAACCTGCCAGCCCCCAGCACAACATCTCCATCTACATAGTAATTGCTTCAATGGAAGGATTTTATGTTTTAGTATTACACACCCGAATTAGATTTCAGATTTCTATTTTAGCAGTTTTATGCTTGATCTACTCCCACACCTATTCACATACGTAGATGAAAACTGAACACGTTCTCAAAATATCCGTGTCTGAGACTGGAAGCGCGCCAGTTTGCGTACTACCAGGGAGCCCAAACACCAGACTGCGCCGAGGCCGCGCCTCTGGGACGCCGCCGTGTGCCCGGGTATCCTGTGCCGGGCGGGCCTAGTGCCCCTGTTGGGCCCTTCCGCCAGAGGTCCCGGCTCTGCGTGGCAGTGGAGCCTGTTGATAGTGGATGGGCATGACTCTGCCCTGCGGGGCTGAGGTCGGTGTGAGCGGCCGCAGGGCGGTCACGTGACGGGCGCTCAGCGGGGGCTGCGAGTGAGCCTGCATTCAGGAACTGCTCGCCGGGATTCCCACCTCAGAGCAGAGGGCCCTCCCCCAGGAGTGAGCAGGGCTCTAGTGTAGTGGAGGGGCGCAGCCTTGGCCCAGGCGGGAAAGGGGGCCCACCTGCCTGGCCCCCCCCAACTGCTCCTAAATTTGACTTCCAGGGCTACTTAAAAGGTCCCAGGGGCTCCTGGTGTCCTCTGCAGCCCCAGCTTGGAAGCTGCACGCTCCCCACCCAGAGGAGCTCTCCCGGTGAGAGCAGTGTCTCCAAAGGCCGCCTCTCACCCCAAGAGGAGACTGAGGAGGGGCCTGTAGCATGTGCATGCGTGGACCGCAGGCAGTCAGCTGTTATTTGAAAAGCAAAAGAGCAGGTTGGGGGCGCGGCCAGAGCTGACCAGGTGTGCACTGAGCCCCCCCTGCTCCTCCCTGCCCCCCTCCCCTGCCCAAAGCTCACTCGCTATTAACCCTCCGCGTTGCTGTCCGTCCTGTGCGTTTGCTCTGCCCCACTCTGCCCTGAGCCTCGTGGGAGGGCCCTGCAGGATGGGAGCTGTGGCACACACAGACAGGCGCTGCTCCCCCCCACACCCCCGGCCGAGGCAGGCTCTGCCTCGGTTTCCCCCAGGGACTCTGCTGCCACCTCCCGCCCTCCAGATGTGCCTCCCAGGCCTGTCGGCGTGCAG